CAGTAGCCTGGCTGCAACTCCACGAGGCCTCACGAGACCCTAAGTAAGAACTTCCCAACCAGGCTGCCCTGGAACCCCTGAGCCCCAGAAACTGTGAGGTGCTAATCGCTCATTTTTGCTTTTAAGTCATTAAACTTGGGAGTCTTTCATTACAATGCAGTAGCCACTGGGGTGCAGTGGCTGGTAACACCGCAGCGCGCCAGGCTTCCCCATCCTTCACTGGCTCCCAGAGTTTGCTCAAGTTCACGCCCACTGAGTCGGTGATGCTACCTAGCTGTCTCATCCTCTTGCCGAGTAACTGAGAGGTAAAGCCTTGCTCCGCGCTGCTTCCTGACCGCATGTGAAGAGCTGCCCTGGGCACCCAGACTCAGCCTGTGGGACTGCCCCAGACTTCAGCTTATATCGCAAGAGGAAAAGCGCACACATCCCCTTGCAGACGCCCACGGTGAGCCCTGACCACTTGGCTCCAGGCAACTATCCTTCCAAGTTCCAGCCAGGTTCCAGGGCCAAAAATAAACAGCGCTTTCTCCTTCTTCAAAGCACTAAGGCTGAGCCGCCGTAATAACTGGGAACCGAGAGCAGAGATCTCAGGCCGCGGCCCGTGGACCGGATGTGGCCTGTAGGCATGTTTTGTTTGGCTCTCACAGTGTTTTAAAAGTTGGAAAACTTTACATTGAAAAAAAAAATCAGATTTCCAGCATCTCACGAGAGGTTGGAAGCTACGACAACACCAGGCCCACGTACCAAGCCGGCAACCATCCACTTGCTGAGCGCAGTGTGGCTCACCCCACTTAGGAAGGGGGGGTGTTGGAGGTTCTGATTCATTCACGGGGCTCAAGATTCACTCGGGCACCTACTCTGTGCCAGGCCCTGCACTGCTGGTTGGGAATCCTAATGGCACAGACACGTCACCTCTGCAGTGCTGGCCTTCTCCTGGGCAGAGAGACCAGGCACCTAAGTCACTCCGGACTGGGGAGACCATCAGACGAGGACAGCTTGAGGTGGAGACCGGGACGAGGTGCCACGCTGGCAGGGTGCCTGGGAAGATCTCTGAGATGACGTCCGAGTGGATTCCCGAGCGATGAAACGAAGCTGGCCACGCAAAGATGTGGGCTAAGAACATCCCAGCCCAAAGGCAGAGCATGTGCAAAGGCCCGACACTGTGAATGAGCGAGCAAGGCTCCAGAGGCAGAGAAGGAAGGAGAGAGGGAGGCGGGACCACGACTGGGGATGGGATTCATTCTACTTACAGAAGACAGAGTGGGGGGCTTCAAGTGGGATGGGGGCTGTGATCTGAGTTGCCTTAGATAAACTCCCTCCGACTGCTAAGCAAAGAAGCAGCTAAGGGAGGGAACGGAATCAAGGAGACGGGAGGAGGCCCAGATAGTCTAGATGAGAGAAGTCCAGAGCGGGCTGGGAGCAAACAGGCTGGATTTGGGATCCTGAGTGAAGGGAGTGCCCACAAGACTTTCAGACGCAGCAGAAGGGGGCTGGGGGTCAAAAGAGGGAGTCCAGCTTTCTAAAGTGGGGGACATTAAAGTGTGCTTACACCAGATGGGAAACTGACGATTCTGTAGGACAAACATGCCAAGTGTGGTTTAAAGCCTTCATGGACAGTTTACCTGCACCGAGGAGTAGAGAATTTCTTAGCGTTCAGCAAGATTAAGAAAACTCATTGGCACTGGCAGCCAAGGCTTCCTGGCGCCGCACACACGTACAGTTCCGCCCTGCAGTGCTGACCCGAAAGGTGAGAACCGAGTTGAGACCTCCACAGAGAGCTGGCGGACAAGATGAATAGCCACCTCCAACCTGGACGGGAGAAGGTTTTGGGGGAGAACGGATACATGTGTATGTATGACTGAGTCCCTCTGCTCTTCCCCTGAGACTACCACAACACTGTTGATTGGCTATACCCTAATACAAAAAGATTTTACTGCTAAAAAAACAATCAATGGGCATTTGAGATGGTGAGTGGGTGGGGACCCAAGATGGTGAGATGAATGGGCACTTTCAAGGACCCTTTCATTTTTGCCTGGACCCATTTACACTGCAGAGCCTGGGGCCTGTGGGTCTCTGACACTGGGTGTTGGGTCATGAATGCAGTTGTGGGGCAGGGGAAGAGGGCAGGGGTTTCGCCGTGTGACTCAGCCAGGGCTTCAAGCTTTTAAAACTGACCAGCCAAGCAAAGGGCTCAATGTCCCATTCACAGACTTTTCCCGAGTCAACAAGGCTTATTCATTGCTGACTCGAGGATTCCTTGAACTCTCCACGGGAACCTGTCTTTTAGCCACAGTGTCTGCTAATGTTTTCCTTGGCTGATGACTTATCGCTTTAACCCTAACTCCTGAATCCAACTTCCCAGGAATGTAAGGCAGCATCTTCCAGAACATCAGTCATTCAGCCTGCATGTGGATCTACCAACTTCTGCTCAGAAGAACCCCTGATTAATATTAAGTGACCCGACAGCGAGGTTAAGCAGTGTAATACCTTTCTGTAGATAGAGGTCAGGTCATCCGGGTGCCTTGTTCAGCTAAGCAAACCAGAGGACATAGGGAGCCCCTAGGGGACATGCCGGGGGTCAGAGATCAGACTGGCCCTTTAGAAGGCTGCCTCTGGCCACCCTGGGGGGAAAGCCATGTCTAGGGACAGGGGGCCTCCTGAGATGACCAGGCAACGGTCCCTCGATCTAACGCAGCAGCAGGAACAAAGGGAGGACCGGGTAGAGACATGAACGCGTGCAGATGTTATATGAGAGGGAAACTGGAGTTTCCAAACTCACAGGTCGCCTTCCGGGGCCCCGGGCATGGACAGACAGGGGGAGCCACCCCGTGAGTGTGTCTCTACCCATGTGGCAGCCAAGCCTGTTAATATGTGGGGCTAATTAAGAGAGGCTGGATGCCCACTTCAGGCTGCTTCCGCTGTCTGCTGGGCTGCCCTTCAGACACCCTCCACCCTCCCAACCAAGGGCCTTCCTTCCCTGAATGCTGGGCGAGGGGCCTCAGAGACATGGGACACGTGTTCCTTGTGAACTGGTGTTTGGTTCTCTCTCTAGTCTTGCCTGAGAGTCTGCCTGTGTGGCTAGGTCAATTTCTTTTTAAAATTAATGTTTCATTCCACACGTGATCCAGGGATCCGCTGCAACAATATAACACAATAAGAAGCTCATTTGAAATTTGATGAGTGAAGTGCACTTTTTTTGCTGTTTCACAATCGAGTCTGTTCTCCCTGGTAACACAGCAGGTCTAGGCGAGGTTGTTTCACCACCGCAGATTGGGGACTGGGATCGTTAACTTCGTGTGTCATTTCGGCCAGACTACAGTGCCCAGGGGTTTGGTCAGACACCAGTCTAGATGTTGTTTTGAAGGCATTTTAAAGATATGGCTAACATTAGACATAGAGAATGAACTTATGATTATCACAGGAGTAAACAGGTGGGATAGATTGGGAATTTGGAGTTAACAGATACATTACATCTAAAATAGATAAACAACAAGGACCTACTGTATAGCACAGGGAATTAAATTCAATATCTTGTAATAGCCTACAATGGGAAAGAATCTGTAAAAGGTGGCAAAAGGTAAAGAATCCACCTGCCAATGCAGGAGATGCAAGAGACGCAGATTTGATCCTTGGGTGGGGAGATCCCCTGGAGGAGGACTGGCAACCCACTCTGGTATTCTTGCCTGGAGAATCCCATGGACAGAGGAGCCCTGTGGGCTGTGGCCCGTGGGGTCTGAGAGTCAGACACGACCGAGTGAGCACACATGTCTATAAAACTGAATCACTTTGCTGTACACACCTGAATCATTGTAAATCACCTGCATTTAAATTTTAAAAAGATACGACTAACATTAAATCAGCAAACTTTGAGTAAAGCAGGTCACCCTCCATAACTTGAGTGGACCTCAACTGATCCATGGAAGGCTTCAAGTGCAAAGACAGGTCATCTGAAAAAGCTTTTCTCCAGGCTGAAATACAAAACTCTACCAGTATTTCCAGTCTGCTGTCCTGTGGAATTCAGACTCAAGACTGAACATCAACTCTTACCTGCATTTTCAGACCACTAACCTGCCCTACAGATTCAAACTTGCCAGGCCCCACAACTGCGTGAGTCAATTCTTTAAAAGCAGTCTATCTGTCTATCACCTACTGACTCTGTTTCTCTGGAGAGCCCTAACAGTAGCAGAAGGTGACTTTGAAGGGTGGAATGTTTCCCTGGTGGCTCAGAGGGTAAAGAATCTTCCTGCAAGCAGGAGACCTGGGTTCGAGCCCTGGGTCGGGAAGATCCACTGGAGGAGGGCATGGCAACCCACTCCAATATTCTTGCCTGGAGAATCCCATGGACAGAGGACACTGGTGGGCTACAGTCCATGGGATTGCAAAGAGTTGGACACAATTGAGCGACTAACCCCTTCACCTTCACTTGAAGGATGGGCCTTTCAGACGTGTCTTAGCTCCACACTGCAGATTTCTCAGAATGACTCGTTGAGATCTTCTTCAGCCTGCAGGCTCAGAACCTTCCCCTGGCTCTTCTCTCCACTTGGACACCTTCCCCAAGGTCTGCAGGCTCTCCTCCTCGCATCTCTGCCCAGCACACCATCACCCGTTTACCCTGTGCCTCCCTGCAGCACCCCACCTGCCAGCCTGCCCTCTCTTTTCCTCACCGGCTTGTGCTCTTAATGCTTATCAGCACCTGAAATGTGAGGTATGAGCTCGTGCATCATCTGCTTTCACATTGCGTCCTTGTCCACCATGGGAAGGTCAGCTCCAGGTAGGTTGTCGGTCACTAACGACTCTCCCAAGCCTGGGATGGGCCTTGCATACAGCAGGCACTCAATAATGACACTGCCAGACGGATTATGCAATGGGTTGGGGGCAGAAGGAGGCAGACCCTGGTGAGGGGTTCCCCTCACCCTTGACTTTCCCTCTGGCCAGGGTACCAGCCAGTGGAGACCGGAACCCCAGGCTCCTCCTTGATAGCACCCACATATGACACCTACCAAAGGGGGGGAGCCATCCGGCTTCCGAGGAGCAGACGTCCCTCTCCTGGGTCCTCCTGCCGTAGGTCGCAGAGTAGATGTTGAGGAACTTGGACTCGTGGCAGTGCAGTTTCAGCTCGTGGTCTTCACACACGGTTTTGTTTTTTAATTCATCTGAAGCAGAAACCAAAATCAGTGGCACCATCAGCTTCCCCAGAAGGACTCCATGAGCATCGCCCACATCCCAGGCAGCTCCCATCCCCCGCGGGGCTGCACCCCCGGAAAGGGACAGACGGCATGGCCCTGCCTGCCAGGGGCTCTCTGACCCTGCGATCCTTCTGCGGGGGCAGCAATGAGTGGACCAGGGCAGAGACCCAGGGACGACACTGAGGCCCAAACGGAGGAGGAGGGACGTCGGGGTGGAGAGGGCAGGGCGAGCTGGGCCAGCCCTAGGACAAGCCTGGCCACGAAGGGACTTCACTCTCCCTCCCCACCTGAACACACAGGTTCCTTGATTCCAGGGAGCCTTTTCTCAAAGGTCATCTTGGGACACACACAGCTGCATGCTTAGTCCCCCAGTCACGCCCGACTCTTTGTGGCCCTTGGACTGTAGCCCACCAGGCTCCTCTGTCCTGGGATTTGCCAGGCAAGAACACTGGAGGGGGTTGCCGTTTCCTCCTCCAGGGATCTTCCTGGCCCGGGAATTGAACCCGCATCTCTTGAGTCTCCTATATTGGCCGGAGGGTTCTTTACCATTAGTGTCATCTGGGAAGCCCCCACACAGGTAAAGACCAAGAATAATCTCAGAGGGAGTCCAGCGAAACCTTACCACCCAACTTCACAACATTCTCATGTCCCATTGGTGTATCTACCCAGAGACAGAGAAACTACGCACAAGCAAAATATTTCCTTTTCCAGGAAAGGAACAAAAAACAAGGCACCATGTCTGTGAACAATTCCTCCTGGAAACACAAGGTCCTATTACACAGCATAGGGAACTACATCCGACAGTGTGTGATAAACTCTAACGGAAAAGAAGATAAAAAAAGAATCCCTCTTTGGAGGTGTGAAGAGCTGGTTCCAAGTTTGGCAGTTCCGGAACAATGGGCCCTCGGGCTGGTGTAGGTCCCAGGAGAGGAAGATTCCAGCTCATGGTTAGTCCTCAAAGAATTTGCCAAAAGTTTATTTGTTTAATCTGAGTACCACAGTGAAATTCTCTTTGCAACATTATACAGAGGTGACATTATAAATGCACCCTGGAGAAAATAGAGTTTATTGTTTTTTTTAATGGACTGTACCAAAAAAAAAAAATTCAATTAATTTAAATGTTTACTAATGAATGGACTTTTTTAAGTAGTAGTATTTTTAAAGCAATAATAGTATTTAAAATAATATTAAATACTACTACTATTATTATAATAGTAGTATTAAAAATAATAACACCACAGACACAAAAGACTACCTAATATGTGATTCCATTTCTGTGAAATATCCAGTAAAGGCAAACCTCCAGAGACAGAATGAAGGTTGGTGGTTTTCTGAGGCTGAGGGTTGGGGACAGGAAGTGACAATGACAAGTGGACACGGAAGTATTTTGAGACGATGGAAATGTTCTGTAGCTGGTCTGATGTCGTGGTTGCACAACTCAGTACAGTTACTAAAAATAGTTGAGCTAGACACTTAAAACAAGTGAGTGCTATGCTGTGTAAGTTATACCTCAGCAAAGACATTCTGCCTTATTTTTATTTATTTGGCTGCGCTGGGTCTTAGTTGCGGGATCTTCTGTCTTCGTTGGCATGTGGGATCTTTAGTTGCAACATGCAAACTCTTAGCTGTGGCATATGGGATCTAGTTCCCTGACCAGGAATTGAACCCCAGGCCGCCTGCATTGAGAGTGTGGAGTCTCAGCCACTGGACCACTAGGGAAGTCCCAACGAAGATATTTTTAAAATAACAATCGCTAATATTTACTGAGCCCTTTCTCTGAACTTGGGCCTTGTTCTAGGATCTTGGTATGTCTCAGTGAATTTAATCATCAAAACAGCCCTTCTGTGAACCACCTCTTATCCTTTGCATGTTATGTTTTGGATTTTTAGAAAATCGTTTGTAGGAAGGATTCATAGATGCTGGATGCTAACTTTTGAACTTTTGTCTCTTACATGTGATAAATATCTTTTCCTAGCCTCCCACTTATTTTGGACTCTGCAAAATAAAAGCAAAGGAAAACCTAAAGGGGACCAAGGCTACTTCTTTGCATGTGTGGTTCTCTCCCCTCCACCCAAATGTTTTTATAAGAAAAACCATGAAAAAATGCTAGCCCCACTCTGTCACTCCAATCCTAGTTTTTTTCTACTTTGAAATGGCAACCAGGGGCACACCTTAACGCCAGACAGGCACTGGTGTCACTAGCAAACAAGAGCTAAATTCCAGGATGGGGAGGAGGAACAAGGAAAGCTAGTCCACACCTCCCATCACCCCCACACCCATCATTTTATTTCTCTCTCCCACTCATGTTTTTATTCCACTTTTTTTCCCTGGATTGGAGGTGCAGGCTGATCCCTCAAATCAAAATTTTCCAGTTGTCGTCTGAGGCCCATCATGAAATCAATTTAATGAGTCATGATTAGAAATTTAAAAAAAAAGAATAGTTCAGAAAACTTCAAAGTGCATCATATAAAGATAAACACTATTTAATAAAGGATTCCTTTTAGTTGTGTGTGGTTATGTTGGGCCAAGAGGCAAAATGTTTTTCTTACTCTGGGTTGCGATCAAACCATTCTGAAATTCCCTGAAGGAGAAGGCATGAGCAGTAAACATCAGGGCAAAGGTGGCCAGCGGGACCTTCATATCCTGGAATTACCGATGCTTAAGTCCCAATCTTAAAACACGAAAGAAAATAATTTCCTAATAGAAATTCCACCTTTCGGTAACTTGTAAATCCCCATGCCTAAAAACACAGAAGGAGCAGTGAGGCCAAGCTTTTGAAGTGCTTGAAGGAAAAATTTTAGTATCTCAAGATTACCATCAGCTCCGGTGCTAGAAAACTTGGGCAATGGTTCCTTAGAACATGTTGATGGGAAGATTCATGAATGAGAGACGTAGAGCAGAAAGCAAGTTACAGATGTTCCCAGAACCCTTATCCTGTCTAGGATTTGCGCATACCTGCAAGGACCCATCAGAGGAGGAAAAAGTCAAATGATGACTAAGCAAATGTTTCGGAAGCCCTTTACCCAACACTAAAATCTTAATAAAGCAGTTTAAACTTAGAGCCAAGAAAAGTTCTGTTTTCTTTTTCTTAATAAAAAGAACATGGAGTCTGACCTTGACATTGGAAGGTTTGATTTCGGTGAGTCATATCCGCACTGCTATGAGTTCTTCAGAGATTTTGATGAGCAAACACTAAATCCCACCAACACCAAAATACTGCCTGACTTCAAAGGTCCAGTGTGAGAGACAGCCTTTGATGCAGAACAGAGGGCTTGGGTAGACACACCAAATGAGTCCAAGCACCCTTCTAACTAGAAGAATACCAAAAATGCTAAGAATGCCCTCCATTGGCAGAGCTCACCAAAAAAGGAGGAGGGAGAAGGCAGGACGAAAACCAAGCCTTATCTCAGTATTCCGGAAATTTTTGAACAGGAATGGTTTCTTTCTTCTTTATCAGAACTTTTTAAAATTAGAAGAGCTTTTTAAAGGCATGTCATGAAATGCATTTGGTGGTGGTGGTGGTTTAGTTGCTAAGTCATGCCCGACTCCTGTGGTCCCATGGAGTGCAGTATTTAGTAGTCCCCATCTGCCTGGTTTTTAAGATCCATAGATTAAAGGTACCAGCCTCGGTATAAGCCAAAATCTCACCCAGAGTAACGCAACACCCCCATGTAAGGCCTCCAGTGGTTTCTGTCCCCAGATTACAGGCAAATCCCTTCCTGGAATGGAGGGACCTGTGCGTGTCATGTTACATGCTTGGGGTTACCACTGTATGCTGCTGTCTCATGGTTCCTTGGGAATGTATTAATTCACTGTCATCGAAGAGTGACATTTCTGGGTTCTAAAAACAAAGGTACTAGTAACATAATTGCTGCTTTTCTTGGAGAACTAGAACTTGTGTCAGAGGTGAGTCAGAGTGCTCAACGGTATCAGAAAAGAAAAGGCGTGGGCAGCCTCTGCAGAAATGTATTGCCAACATCCGTGTGGGTTTGGGCGCTTTACCCAGGAGCCTGGGTGGAGTTACAACCACCCAGGTTTAAAGGTGGCACATTCTCCCTCCTAATTAGAGGTCGACGTGTGCGATTCATTCCTCTTTAACACGGATCTGCACATCCGCTGATCTGCACATCAGAGTGGCCTTTCAGAGACGGGCAGTGGGAGTGATGAATCCGAGCAGGACCCTGTGGGACTCCTGGGCATGGAAGTCTTTCTGGCCCCTGTTCCTTGTTTGGAGGGAATAGACTCCAGCCTCCATGATATTCCCTGAACTGCAAAGGGCAGATCAGAACAGTTGCCAATCAGAGAAGAGAGGAAATGCGGAAACTAGAGCAGTAGCCAAGAAACAACAGGTCCTGGGCAGGTCCTGGTTCCTTCTCTGGGGATACACACAGCAATATCTTTGAGCTCTTTACAGAACTAAAATCCGCAATGAATGGAAGGTGTTCAGCTCAGTTCAGTTGCTCAGTTGTGTCCGACTCTTTGCGACCACATGGACTGCAGCACGCCAGGCCTCCCTGTTCATCACCAACTCTTGGAGTTTACTCAAACTCATGTCTATGGAGTCAGTGATGCCATCCAACCATCTCATCCTCTGTCGTCCCCTTCTCCTCCCGCCTTCAATCTTTCCCAGCATCAGGGTCTTTTCCAGTGAGTCAGTTCTTCGCATCAGGTGGCCAAAGGATTGGAGTTTCAGCTTCAGCATCAGTCCTTCCAATGAATATTCAGGGTTGATGTCCTTTAGGATGGACTGGTTAGATCTCCTTGCAGTCCAAGGGACTCTCAAGACTCTTCTCCAATACCACAATTCAAAAGCATCAATCCTTCGGAGCTTTTGGAAGGTGTCAGCATTCTTCATTCAGAGACCACCACCTGAGGCCCGATTAAAGGAGTGCAGGCCCTGCACACACCCTAACCTTATCAGCAAGCCCCCCTGAACCACTGCTATGAAACGCCTCACCAGACCCCCACGGGTTGGGACTTGCAGTTTTTTGAGGCAGCAGCGTGCTGTGTCCCCCTTTCCCAGGCAAAGCGGTAAAGCCATCCTTTTTCTACTTCACTCAGAACTCTGCTTCTGAGATTCGATTCAGCACCAGTGCACAGAAGCCAAGCTTTCAGCATCAGTGCTTTAACTCGATGGGAATATGTTATTATTGACATTATTTACAGCTGCCAATGCATGACAACATTAACGTCAAGACAACTATTTAGCCTCTTTCATTGTGTTTTTAGGGGCTTCTCCTGGAGAAGGAAATGGCAACCCACTCCAGTATTCTTGCCTGGAGAATCCCATGGGCAGAGGAGCCTGGCATGCTAGTCTATAGTGTCACAGAGTCAGACACAACTGAAGCGAATGACTACACACACACACATTGTGTTTTTAAGTCCTCAACAGACAATGCATTCCGCTCTTACCTGGGGCAGAGCACACACACCCCCACCCCAACCACTGGTATGTCACTGCCTTGCAGTCATTCATATCTTTAGCAAGAATTTCTTAAGGACTTCCCTGTTGGTCCAGTGGTTAAGAATCTGCCTGCCAACGCAGGAGACATGAGTTTGATCCCTGGTCCAGGAAGATTCCACACCATGGGGCAACTAAATCCACGCACCAGAACTATGGTGCCCATGCTTCACAGCCTGAGAGCTTCAACCGCTGATGCTCTGGATCCCATGCTCTGCTACAAGAGACGGCACTGCAGTGCGAAGCCCACTCACCTAGAGAGTGGTCCCTCTCACCGCAACCAGAGAAAGCCCCCACACCGCAATGAAGACCCAGTGCAGTCAACAATAAAATAAACAAATAAATTTAAAAAATTTAAAAGACTTACTTTAATCTGCCACTTGGGGATAATAGCTACCAGTGCCTGAATTCAACTCCCTGACAGGTCCTAAGCATTTTACACACAGAACTATATTTTTATTCTTTGCAGCAGCCCTGCATAGAAAGTGTATTGTGTGTTATCTTTATTTTATAATTGAGTTACGGAGGCTCAGAACATTTCCCTCCACTGCCCAAGTTCACACGACAGCTCCACAGCAGACAAGAACATGAACCCTAAATTCAAAGACTTGCTGAAACCAAAAATTCTCCAAAGGGATGAGATTTAAGGATGAGGTAAAGCATGGCACACAATCAAGGAAAGAAGATTCTAGTGAGGACTGCTGATAAAATACTCTCCAAAAAAAACAAATACGTGAATGTGCCCTGATTTGTAGCCTCAGCCAAGTTCCCTGGTGTAAATACTTCCATCAAGGCAGGTGACACTGCACACAGGTAAGGCTGGGCAGACAGGGGTAAATGGGCTCCCATGGTAAAAATGGCTCCATGCGCCCTGGGTTCAGCGGTGGGGCCTTTGGACAATCAGAGTGTTATGCAGGGACTGGAACTGGGGCCATGGGGAAGAACCTCTGGAGGTGAGAGTGTTGCAGAAAAAGAGGGAGGAGGGTGTGGGAACAACCTCACTTCCACCACTATTTCATAACAGCCCACAGGAACTACCAGAAAACTTCAGTGCCCCAGGTCACCAATGTCCATCCAGGTCACATAAGATGCTCTGGTCTGAATCTCTGTCCCCCTAAAATTCACTTGCTGAAATCCTAATGCCCATGTGATTAGGAGGCGGGATTAGACATCAGAAGGTGGGGCCTTTGGAAGGTGCTTAGATCATGAAGCACCTAAGCTTCATGGGTGCACCCCTCATGAATGGGGTTAGTGCCCTTACATATGGGACCCCAGAGAGATTCCCTGCCTTTCTGCCAAGTGTGGTTAGAGTAAAAAGGACAGCTGTCTATGAGAAGCAGGCTGTCAGAAGATACCAAGTCTGCACCTTGATCCTGGCCTTCCCAGCACCCAGAATTGAGAGGAAGAAATTTCTGTTGATTGTAAGCCACCTCATTGATGGCATTTTGTGATAGCAACTCAGACAGACTAAGACACAGGGCTCGCCCCTCTAGTCTGTTACACATGAGGCAGCCAGAGGGGGCTTTACAACCCCATCGAGGGCCCTCCCTGCTTAAATGCTGCCCTACGGGAAGACTCCACCTCCTTCCCTGGCCCTCAGGGCCCTGAATCCGGCTCCAGCTCTCTGTCTGGTGCTCCTTTTTGCCCCCTCCAGGCCCCTGAACCTCCAGCCACAGGCTTCTCTAAGGAGTGAGCTTCCTGTGCCCTGACCTGACCCCGGGAGTTCCTCATCACTTGCTGGGAAAGTCTTCCCTGAACTGAGGTCAATCAATTCCTCCTTTGAGCTTCTTGCACAGTATCAAGGGCACAGGGGTCTTCTTTAGATATGTTTTTAAGAGAGAGTCTTTCTGGGGAAAGGAGATATTTGGCCTAGAATCTAAGACACAAGCAAGTATGTAAAGATCTCAATAAATGTTTTCTGGATCAAGGGACAATAGAAATCACCCAAGACAGAACAACCATCCAGGAATCCTCTGCCAGATGTGAGTTCTCTTCATAAGCAAGACCTGGCCCACACCTGTGCACAGCAGTTAGTTAGTAAGGGTCTGATGAAGTGAAATTAGCAGACAGACCTCACTGCCCACTGTAGAAACACGCTGTGACCCAGCACTAGCTTTTCTGGGATCCTGCTGATTTCACAAGGGCCTTTTCACTTCTTTTAGACGTTGGTCCCGCCAAGCTTTTTATCATAAGCAATTTTCCAGCAGATAGAAAATGTCAGAGAGTATCACAACAAATCGGCAGAAGGGGAAAAGAAGGCGAAGCTTAGGCAGACAAGGTGTGACCAAGGGTGTCATCTTTTTTGCGTGAGGGTGGCTCTTTTTTTGTTTTTTTGGCTGTGCTGGGACTTTGTTAGGGCACGAGGGATCTTTAGTTGCCGCATGTGGGATCTAGTTCCCGGACCAGGGATTGAACCCAGGCCCCCTGCATTGGGAACACGGAGTCTTAACCACCAGGCCACCAGGGAAGCCCCTGGTGTAGTCATTTCTGAGATCAGGGGCCTCTAAGAGCGTGGGAATCTAGAAGTGAATTTCCTGAGTCTACTGAGTCGGGGAGGAGTTGGTGAGAATCCCTGGGGGTGGCGAGGGTAGACTGTTCTGCAAAGTTTGGGCCTACTTGTGGGAGTTTGATTGTGTGTACTTGTGAGTGAGCGTGTGGCTACATGAGTGACAATGCCTATGTGTATAATATGGGTGTGACGGTATGCATGTTTGAGAGTCCAGGCGTATGCACTCTGAGTGACAGTGGGTGGGTGTACATGTGAGTGTGAGTCTGAGTGTGTGCTTGGATGAATTACTGCATTGTGGTGGCAGTGCAGAATTTTACAAAATTTCATCCCCCCCCCCCCCCCCCCCCCCCCCCCCCCCCCCCCCCC